ATACATACATACTCGGGAGCACCACGGAATGGTGCTACGATGATTTACTCACGCCTCTGCATCACTTAGAGCCTGTCGGCAACCTAGCTCACAGGGGCCGCAAGGCAAAGTTTCAACGCCCAAACCTGGACTGCCGTGCCACAAAAGCTCGCAAGGAAAAAACTGTGTTTGACCATAATCACTCAGAGCATACTCACAGTCCTGAAACCCTCGTCGAACAGGCTTCAATGAGCGGCTTCAATTGGAAGTAGGCTCACACCTTAAAGATAGAATGCACCTCGAGACTAGACTGAACACGGACCCCTTAACGTGCAACACTGTAAAAGCAATTCGCGGATTGGGGTTCAGGGTTTGGCTGGGGGTTTAGGGCTCAGGGAAATCACGTTCGGTAAGCTCCAAGCTGAATACTTGGGTTTTGAGGGGTATCTCAGTTCAATCCCTTGGAGTACCACGACGAACATCCAATGAAGTCAAAACAAACAAAGATCTGATTGAATCACAGAAATTTGGGTCCGATTGCCTCTGTTCTGGGCGATGGTGTGCTCGCAGGCCAGGATCGGCGAGTCTGCACCACGAACGTAGTTTTCCGCCATGTGCGGACGTTCCTCGGCAAGCTTTGTGTTCATGTTCACGAGGTGGGGGGGGGGCCTTACGTAAAGTCTTGCCGGGGGGGATGGTATGCATCTGATCAAGAGCCCAAGGATTCCATCCATCTTGGGCCGCATTCGTTTAAAAGTTTTGGCGAGGGTCATATAGGGAAGCCTTGACTATCAATCTCACAGCTCTCGCTGAGTTCATGAATAATTAGTTATTTGCTTCGGACTGGATCCACAAGTGTTCCCTTGCTAAGACGCTAAGCTTCGCCTGCACTGCATCCAACAAACCAGCATGGAGTTCAGCAAATTAAGTGCTTTCTGCGCACTGACGCTCCAAATCGGTTAGCTTGGTTTGATAGATATATAGATATATATATATATATATATATATATATATACATATATATATATATATATATATATAGATAGATAGATAGACAAGGCTGGCAGGCCCTGTCGGAACTTGCAGCCCGCCGCAGCCCCAAGTGGATCCAAAAAGCTTGGCCACCCACCTCCCGGCATTCATCGCTATCGAACCGAGACTCGCGAATCAGCAAAATTCAAAAAACACAAAGGTTGAAGCTGGCAATGCCGCAGAACCCCTGGCCGGGGCACCACAAGGGACGAAAGAGGATCCCGGATGAGATATCTTGAGTTTATGGCATGGTCTTGGGTTGGAGGTGTGGGTTTCAACTAATGGATTTGCCAAACTTGGGAGCGTGGGATTTGAGGTTTCCGGGTTTCGACGCTCAAATTCGCACAAGGCAGGCAAATCAGGGTTTAGGTCGAGTGGCTGTCCAGGAACTCTCCCATGTCGGTCGCCGAGGGCCGGTGGAGATGATCCCAGACAGCCGTTGCCTCGGTTGGGTAAGGGGGGGGGGGGGTTGTGGAAGCTTTGGGACCTGGGATGCAGGACTTGTCGGGCTTGGTCGTGGTGTTCAAGACTTCAGGCTAAGAGCGAAGGTGTTCAAGGTTGAAGTGAGGGTCTTTAGGCTAGGTTGATGCTGGGTTATGGTGACACCAGGCTTGCACGCAGAAGCTCTACCCGCTGGTGCTGCTGCTAGCAGCCAGAGTCCAGCGCCCAACAAGTAATTACAGTGATACAAGCATCAATTTGACACCAGCGTAGTACGAGCCCTGCAGAGATGGTAAAGCGCGAAAGCAAGCAGAACCACAGGACGCTAGGGCCACAACTCTCTCAACACCCAGAAGCCCCCGAATCCTACCTCCTTGCATGGCCGACTGTCATCTCTGCGGTCCACACCTTCGAGCCTAGGAAGTGAAGGCCGAGTTGCAGCCCAAGGCCCTCGCCAGAGATACGGCCAGGCACCTCATGATGGAGAGGCTCATAAACCCCCGACCACATAGGGTGTAGCCTCACACGGGAAATGTGGGCTCCAGGTCCTTTCGTCATTATTTTGATGTAAATGCGACATCCTGGCTGGTGGCAAGTATATGGAAGGACCAGAAGTAGCCCAGGCGTTTCGGTGTCACAAAGCCCCTCAAGCAGACGGCGAAGGTAGAAACCTGACTCAAACCCTCCCAACCCAATAATAAACCCTACAGACATGTCCTATTCTTGAAACGGCCCAGGCGTTTTACCAAAGAAAAGCCTACCAGAATGAGGCTCCTCCAAGGAGCTGGGCACCGGGAGCTCTGGGCCGCTACCAGAGCTCTGGGCTGGTAGTCAGCCTCGTCTCAGAAGATGGGAGAAGATTCAACTTCTAGACCCAAGAGTAACCTAGGAATATACAAAGGGTGCCCTTTTTGGGGTTAAAGGGGCTAAAAGGCAACCAGAACCCTGAAAAAGGGAATAAGGGCTTACTCTGGGTCCTGGACTTCGGGAGATCTGAACTCGTCATAAGACTTTTCCTGCTTACTTTTGTTTGCCACAGGGGGTCTGAATAGTGCTATCGTGCACCCCATACTCCAACTAAGACGGCCGCGATCTAGTGTTGGAGGTCCATGGTTCTGCTGCAAACTGGAGCTTTATTAACAAGGCACAGACAAGCAAGACACGATGGCGATGAAAGGTCCAGGGCTCAGGGTGGGGGGTTGTCGTTTGGGGCGTTTATAGATCGATGGTCTATGGGTTTCGGACTCGCAAACTCACACTGGGCAGGCACGGATTTACGGGTCGGACGTTGTTACTTGAGTTTATGGGTTTAGGGTTAGGAGTGGGGTGCTCTGGGATCTACTCCACTTATCATTCTTCCGCTTGGAGTTGAAAAAATTATGACGGTGTCCAGTCGATTTCGGCTAGATCCTCCGAGACGCAAAACAGCAACAAAAAGAAAGGAAGTATGCAAGCAAATGTAGAATCAGCGAGAGAGGGGACAGGCGTGCGTACAGGTGCGCAGACACAAGAAAACATCAACAAACACATGCGAGCCACAGGCTCCAAACTAAACCAAGAACAGCCCAGGCACCCGGTAGCTGCCAGGGGCTCGTCACTCTCTGTCGACCGCGGTGGACAGGAGGTACGCTCCACGGCCTTTATGGCTCTGACTTTTTTTCTGTCAAGCTTGTTCCTCACCCGCCCAGCTGACTATGTCTAGAGTCTAGGCTACGGCGGCTACGGTGTCTAGGTTGAAGCTTGGGCTTGGTACCACTTCCGTTGCAGTTATAGGGTATGTTCTGAGCACTCTTGCGGCAGGACAGTTTTCGATTCTTGCTGCGGTCAGGCTACACCAAAATCCTGCCAACAGCATGTAACACACTACTGCCTTAGTCTCCCATGTGCGGTTGTGCTATCTTTTCCAAGGTGGGTGACGCCTCTGTGCACAAAACACAGTTAAGCCCGCTCAAGCTTCGGAGGGAAGGCCCTGTTAGGACAAGGAAGGTAATCACTCGTCTGCCAAGGTGCCGATCGATTGGTGCAGTTGAACTCCGCGTGCTCGAAGTCGCTGCCATTCGAGTAGTTCCCGAGCATCGGCTCTGACCGGGACTCCTAGTTTCCGAGATATCTAGCGCAGTGCCTGACTTATTTGCGGAATGCGCTGCCGTCAAGTCATATGATTCCAGAGATATCGCTTGAATCTGGTACACCAAGCATCTGATGTCATCGGGCGAAAGGGTCCCGGGCCACATCTTATGCGGAGGGGGGGTTACCCGGAAATCGATGTCAGGCTGAGGCCAACGTGAGGTACGGAGACCAAAGCGGCTCCTCGCTGAAAAAGCAACGTCTTAACCCCGTGAAATGACCTTTTGGGAGTACCCAGTGCAAATCGTGGAACGTCCTATCCATGGAACCCCTTTCGAAGCCAAACCCTGCACCGAGCCCAAGAGAAAGGACAACGCAGCAGGGCGGCGACTTGCCGTTTGCCGCGGCCGGCGAGCATCAACGCAGAGCCAGGAACTCCAAACGCCGGCATGGCGAGGTTTACCACGGCGAGGGGTTGCTCCGAACTAGGATTGCCTCCAGCATAACTGGTCTAGTTCGGGTCCTTCTGCCGCCGGTGGTGGCTAGAGACCAACAGCTGTCTGCCGTTGCACAAACAAAGTCTCTTTTGCAAACAAGCACAACACAATCCGAAGCTTGTAACATGCTTTTAGGCCTTGACGGTTCTGGAGTCTGGCACATGACAGCTTGGGGCTGTCGCTCTTGGGCTCCGAAAGGTTTAAGGAACGACCTCCGGGCCTTCGCCCGTATGTCGGCAATGACAAGTGGTTTTCCGGTCACCACCGACAAAGCCAGCCGCTGTCTAAGGAAACTGCTGCCGCTGTACCTACATCGAAGAGTTCTGAAGGAAGAAAGACATTCACATCAATGCATCGACAGCCAGGTCTCAACCAACCGGAACCCATGAACCCAATCGCTCATGAACGAAGAGAAGCGAGGCCTCGCAACCGAAATGCGCACAGCACGTGACTACGAAGATCTTACACATCAATGAACCAACCAGATGTTCGAGCATGGTTGCCAAACACACGACTTATCCGTGCAGGTATCAAGACGCTTGGACTTCGAGACCGGAGGTTTGAAGCTTGTGGTACTTATTGTGTAGTGACGTGGGGCTTTACAGTCACAGTTCCATACCGATGACGCTGTGCCATCCCTTAATTAGTTCAGGATCCGCCTGTTTTGCAACAGGCTTCCCACTTCGCCCAGAGTTGGAGCAAGCAGCCCTCTCTCTCTCCCAGGCACCCTAAAACCCTTTTTGCAGCAGGCCTCGTTGTCCAGCAGCCCGGTTACAGCAAAGAGCCCCTCTGTCCCCCGCTTCTTCAAAGCAAGGAGAGGAGTCGAGCTGACACCCTCTCTCTCTCTCTCCAGGGCACTCAGTCGCTGTCAGGCCCCGCCAGCTTCCTTCCCACAGGACTACCACTCTGCACATGTAGCCAGCATTGGGGAAGGAAGCGTGAAAAGTCATGAACTGAAGGAAAGCTTGAAACATGCACACTCACTCATTCCTCTTCAAACTCTCGTAGGCGCTGCAATCGTGCTGATCTTCTTCTCTGTTTCAACTCCATCCGTTGCTTCCGATGGTGGTCAATCAGCAACTGATTTCCTTCCTGTATTTCTGAAGTACTCTCGTGAATAGGCGTATGAACATTCGAGGTGGCCGCGGAGCTTGTCCAAGCAGTGGTCCCAGCTTCTGGCACGAATATACCCGATGAAGCTTTCGTATCATGTACCATTGCTTGCACCTGACAAATCCGCGAGTCAAGATCACTTTCCAACCTGCGAATTGTTGCCTCTCGCTCTTGAATGACTAACTCAGTCTGCGCTCGAAGCTTCTCGATTTGAACCTGAGCAGTCTTCAACACGCCCTCAGCAACAGCCTTGCATTCTAGCTCAGTGCAGATGTTCGCTTCGGTTTGCATGGACGCATCGGCAAATTGCTGCGTCTGGCAAGTTGGCGAAGCATCAAACAATCTGATGATCTGGCGCTGGGCAGCAGTTCCATCCGGATGAATATGATTGGCAGACTCTTTCCGAACACAGTGCAATGCAGATGTCAGATGTTCTGTCACACTTGGCACGTTAATCTTATAAGATATGCGCAAGGCGTATGCAACACAGGACGTCAGCCGCCGTTCCATTGCAGTCACGTATTGGAATGCACGAATTGGGGTTTGCCAGATTTTGGCCTCGTAGCAGAAATGGCTTGAGCCGTAGCCATTTCGAGCTGACACCCTAAAACCCTGAACCCCGAACCAAGCTACCTTAATTCAGAATCTCTGCAGTCTCCGGGGCGAAAATCCTATTTAAGCCCGAAGCCTTAACATGTGTGCCTGCTAAGCACAGCGAACCTTTCAAAGGCAGGTGACCAAGAGGAACAAACTGTGGGCAAGACTCGGGCTGCCGAAAGTAGAGGACCTGAATGTTGATCCTGACCCTGAATCCCTAAACACATGACACGATGAGACCCTAAATGCTTGTAGAACCCTTGAATAATTCAACCTGATCGAAAGAACCTGAGAAAGGAGCGCCCTCATATCTCTCGTTTGTCGGCCCGTTTCCTTTGCGCGTTCCGCCCTTAGGGCAGCGATGGGCTCTAAGGGACCTCCTTGGACGTCCGCTAAACGTAAAGGAGGGCCTGCTGGAAAAGTGTATTGGGATTTTGGTTCTGTGGTTTGGAGCTGTTTAGTTAGGCCTTACTTGACGGTGTTATACGGGATCTGCGGTGCTCTACGCGGAACAGGTTTTAAGAGTAGGGCCTTTGGCAGGGCTCCTTGGGAATACATCAGTATTGGCGAGCGCATTTTGGGGTTTGTTGAGGAACCGGTAAAACAAAACCTTTCATGCGTGCCACTTGCGGATTTGTCTGATCATGCACAGTCTTCCGCCTACGACCGCATAGGCCACATGTGTGAGTGAGAGAGAAAGCGACAGAGAGAGCATGCTGGCATGTACTTATTTGTGTGCATGAGTGTGCTCATCGAATTATTCGTCCATGTCTCTTTGTTTGCATCTGCTTGCCTTTCAACCGACTTGTCAACACAGCTGCTTGTCTGTCTGCATAGTCTGCACCTCGCATGTATTCGGCCAGCTCGGTCTCGGGCTGCTTTGTGCGAACTTTTTGTCTCGTGCAGTTGATATATTCTGTTATTAAGCGTAACCCAGCTTGGTGATAGTCCTGGTAGCAAATATATAGTCGTTACCAACTTATCTGCTTGTCTAGTCATCAGGCCTCGTATATGTCTAATTAATCAGCAATGAGTCTGCACGGCGCGTCTAGCTACCTATTGTCCTTTGACTTTGCCTTTGAGTTCCTACTTATTTGGACATGCAACATGTCTCTTTCCATATGTGCATATACATATACATATATATATATATATAGATATAGTACATACAGACATATGTATATACATGACAACATATGATGCCAGGCTGCAACCCCGCACCCCCATGCATCCGCATGGTATGGCCCCCATGCCCCCCCCCCCCCAGGGGTCTGGTTGGGGTTTGGGTCTGCTTGGAATGCCTCGCCCCCCTGTGGTGCGGTGTGGTTCGGGGTTTGAGTCTGCATCATCCTTATCATCATATGAATGTTCTCGCCTCACTTTAGCTACCAAAAGAATGTATTTGCTTGCTTGGCTGCAAGAGGTCCACATCTCGGTAACGTCATGACCGCACGACACATAATTAGCGCAACAGCAGTCAACCCACTTATCCGCTTACCCAAAGATACTCATCTGACCTCATGTACATGTCTAGTCATTGGTCAAGTCTGTATTTTACTATATACTGTTGAGTTGATCTCGTAATACGTGTCTATCTCTTGATCTACCTATCGTCTCTGAACTCCCAATTGCCTCATTGCGTTTGTACGTCTCTAGTTCCTTATTCCTTACTTCTGTACCCATTGACACCCCGCACACGGACTCTAAGAGTCTCTCGCGTAACACAGGCCCTCGTGGTTGAAAAGCCTGCAACCACGGTCGTGGCATTTCGTGGCTTGCTGTGGCTCTTAACAAAACTGGCTCTACGCACTTTAGTAGGCCAATAAATGAGGCACGGAGTCGAAGCACGCGTCAGCTTCTCATGGGCCGGGCACAACTGCCTGGCAAGAGACAAAGCAAAAACTTTCTCAAGAGGTGGTTGGTTTTTTTCCCGCACGTGGCCTTCGATCACTGTTTTCGGGTTTGCCACAGGATCCATAATGCGTAAAACGGCTTCCGACTAGTCATGTTCTTCAACTTCGCCGAAAAGTCTTGAGAACAGCACCGAACATTTGAGCTGTGGAATCGCGGTCGGGCACGTGGCACTACAGCTAAAACATGTGCTGTTTCACCGTCGGACTCTCACCAAAAACGCGCATACCATAGAACATTAGGACTATGGCCCAAGAAAGTTCAAGGTTGCATAGACCATACATGACTCTGTCAATCGTGCTCATAAACTCTTAAGGACATGGTTCATTAGCCTACAGGCCACAAGCGGCCATTGTATGACCCCCACTAGAGAATCCTATATTATATGTTCATCCTTAGTGCGTAGTATCGGCTGTAGCTCACATAGCCCTGCCTGCAAACGAAGCATCCATTGTTTATACACATTCCTTCCGTGTGTAGAGTCTAGGGAGGCAGCCACTGCATGACACACGACGTCAGCCTGATATGAATGAGTAGGCAAGGAGCTGTCAAAAACACTACCGGGTCATACTAACTCCTCAGGAAATTGTAGCTTTGGGCTTCGGTCGGCCTTTTGATTTTGCTTTCATTGTGCGACAAGCCACCTACGCACGGCCTCCGTCTGAAAAAAAACTCCAGCCCGAAACCTTGTGAACCGTAAAATCACTTGGCCCTGCCTTGCAGCCGAGAGGGACTGGCACTGAGAGGCTTTCGTTCGAAGTGACCTCAACACTCAATCTGTCCGGCAACTCCCACTCAGAAGAGCTGAAGCGTCCTCCGGACACCTGGCTTCGGAGGACGTAGTCGTGAGTATTTTCGGTGCCTTGGTGGTCTCCCTTCCATGTGTCAATGGTAACTCCGGACGAGATCTTCACCTCCAGGAGGTCCCAGAAAGCATCCGTCGCAAAAGGATTTGTTCGGAGGTCCCGGACGGCGTCCGGCGCAAAGGAAAAGAAAGCTTCGAAGGCTGCTTCTCTGCCCGAAGAGTTGTCCACGACAAAGAAAGGAACCCCGACCTCCAGGCTCTGAACCCTAATCCCTTTTGAACGAGGTCTCTCTGAAGTGCCTCCAAGCCTAACCCCTTTTTGACACTGAACCCAAAACCATCCCGACCTCCAGGCTACGGTTGGGTAGGGTGATTGTGTTCCTTTCCTGGTACTGGCTGTCGGAACCGGACACGACGAGGTAGAATGCACTCAGGTCCGTGATGTTCCTAAGAGCGGTCAGCTGCACAAACTGGACCGTCGCAGAAGCAGCATTCCTGGGTGCAAGAAAGCCAAACTCAAGGCTTTGGGGGTGCAAGGCAGAACGCAGACTAGCGAAGGTGTCTGGAGGGGAGGAACGGAGACCTGCGACAAGAACATATCTGGCTCACGTCCTTGTTCAAAGAACTGTGGCTAGGCTCGTCGAAGTAGAGTAGACATGGGGATATCTTGTTCGCCGGGTGTCGAGGAGAACCTAATTGTGCCGACGGCCGAGATGACAAGATCCGGAGCAAGGGAGCCGATTGCAAAGGGGCAGGAAAGCTCGGAAACCCGTGGAGCCTGCAAGGGTGTAGGGTTTGAGTGGATTTCAAGTCGAATACAGTTACCCAGCTTGCACTTGCCAAACGCCCTATAAACCCTCGGCCCTACGCCGCGAGCTCAAAACCGTAATTAAACCCCGAGGCCTAAGCTTTCTACACGGGAGTTTTAGCCTTCGCGGCCCACATATGTTCTGCGAGCACATGCAATAGACAACCTAACCCACTTGCCCGCCTGGCAGCCCCTCACGGGGACCGGTGTTGGGAGCGCCCCGTTTGGAGACTGATAACTATGATCAGGATACTCCCACTCGTACAAGTTGAATGTCGCTCCGGTTGCTCTTCTTCGGAGGTAATAGGACTCGTCGATACCTCCATTGAAGTTTCTTCCCGTAAATGTGTCAATCGTGGCTCCAAACGAGTCCTTCAGCTGCACGATATCGTACAAGTAATCAACATCGTCGTAGAGTACCCGGACGATGTCCGCCGGAAAACCGAAGAATTCTTGGAAGGCTGCGACATCCGATTCCCCACTTTCGTTGCCATGGTCGTGTGTAATATAGAAGGTGGCCCCGGCCCCCAGGCTCTGGGTAGGCAGGGAGATGTTCAAGGGAGTCTTGCCCTCCTCACCGGAAATGAAGATGGAGAAAGTGCTCAGGTCCATGATGCTCGTCAGCGCGGTCAGCTGTACGAATGCGAATCTCGGCGGACACAACAACCCTAAACCCTGGAGGCAGGACACACAAGGCAGCATAGACTAACGACGGCTTATGCAGCGAAGGAAAAGTAGTATAATAACATCTTGCTCATGTCCCTGTTCTTCAATCTGCGCTTGCTGGTCTAGGTCGATCAGAAACCAACAGGAATGTCACACCCTTTCGCCAGGAGTCGTCTCGTCAGTACGGAGGTAGCCGACGGCCGAAATCACAAGATCAGCAGCACCGATTGTAAATGGACACACAATGGACTCGGTAACCGGCGGAGCCTGCAAGGGTTTGGGGCTTGGAGCTGTGGGGCTTTGGGCTTCGGGTTTAGAGGCCGCGGCTTCAGGAATGGCTTCCAATGCTTTTAGTACCTAGGGCGCCACTGCCTTTTTGCATCAGGACTTGTGCAATCGCCTGAATACATGGCGCCACTGCGGGTTTGTCAAACCCGAAAGCCAATGCCCTTAACCCTATATAAGCCTTAAGCCGTTATAAACCTTAAGGCCGAAGAATGCGATACAGGAGCTTCTTGGCCGTTACGGTCCAAATGTGTTCAAAATGCATACTTGGGACCCTGTCGTTGGGTTTGGGTTCGGGCGATGTGTGCCCTCAAAACACACTATCATGACCGCTTTAAACCGTAATTAAACCCCGAGGCCTAAGCTTACTACACCGGACTTTTAGCTTTTACGGAACACATATGTTCTGCGAGTATGTGCAACCACAGACACCCTAACCCACTTGCCCGCCTGGCAGCCGAGGGGGACCGGTGTTGGGAGCGCCCCGTTTGGAGACTCATCGGCATGTTCAGGATACTCCCACTCGGTTATGTTGAATGTCGCTCCGGTTGCTCTTCTTCGGAGGTAATAGTCCTCGTCGATAAACCCATTAAAGTAATAACCCTTAAATGTGTCAATCGTGGCTCCAGACGAGTCCTTCAGCTGCACGATATCGTACAAGTAATCAACATCGTCGTAGAGTACCCGGACGATGTCCGCCGGAAAACCGAAGAATTTTTGGAAGGCTGCGACATCCGATAGCGAACTCTCGTTGCCATGGTCGTGTGTAATATAGAAGGTGGCCCCGGCCGCCAGGCTATGGGCAGGCAGGGAGATGTTCAAGGGAATCTGCCACTCCTCACCGGAAATGAAGATGGAGAAAGTGCTCAGGTCCATGATGCTCGTCAGCGCGGTCAGCTGCACGAATGCGAAATTCCCCAAAACCTGGTCAGTACGGAGGTAGCCGACGGCCGAAATCACAAGATCAGCAGCGCCCGCGCCGATTGTAAATGGGCACAATGGACTCGGTAACCGGCGGAGCCTGCAAGGGTTTGGGGCTTGGAGCTGTGGGGCTTTGGGCTTCGGGTTTAGAGGCCGCGGCTTCAGGAATGGCTTCCAATGCTTTTAGGTATCTAGGGCGCCACTGCCTTTTTGCATCAGGACTTGTGCAATCGCCTGAATACATGGCGCCACTGCGGGTTTGTCAAACCCGAAAGCCAATGCCCTTAACCCTATATAAGCCTTAAGCCGTTATAAACCTTAAGGCCGAAGAATGCGATACAGGAGCTTCTTGGCCGTTACGGTCCAAATGTGTTCAAAATGCATACTTGGGACCCTGTCGTTGGGTTTGGGTTCGGGCGATGTGTGCCCTCAAAACACACTATCATGACCGCTTCAAACCGTAATTAAACCCCGAGGCCTAAGCTTACTACACCGGACTTTTAGCTTTTACGGAACACATATGTTCTGCGAGTATGTGCAACCACAGACACCCTAACCCACTTGCCCGCCTGGCAGCCGAGGGGGACCGGTGTTGGGAGCGCCCCGTTTGGAGACTCATCGGCATGTTCAGGATACTCCCACTCGGTTATGTTGAATGTCGCTCCGGTTGCTCTTCTTCGGAGGTAATAGTCCTCGTCGATAAACCCATTAAAGTAATAACCCTTAAATGTGTCAATCGTGGCTCCAGACGAGTCCTTCAGCTGCACGATATCGTACAAGTAATCAACATCGTCGTAGAGTACCCGGACGATGTCCGCCGGAAAACCGAAGAATTTTTGGAAGGCTGCGACATCCGATAGCGAACTCTCGTTGCCATGGTCGTGTGTAATATAGAAGGTGGCCCCGGCCGCCAGGCTATGGGCAGGCAGGGAGATGTCAAGGGAATCTGCCACTCCTCACCGGAAATGAAGATGGAGAAAGTGCTCAGGTCCATGATGCTCGTCAGCGCGGTCAGCTGCACGAATGCGAAATTCCCCAAAACCTCGTCAGTACGGAGGTAGCCGACGGCCGAAATCACAAGATCAGCAGCGCCCGCGCCGATTGTAAATGGGCACACGAACTCGGAAACCGGCGGAGCCTGCAAGGGTTTGGGGTTTGGAGCTGTGGGGCTTAGGGCTTCGGGTTTTGAGGCCACGGCTTCAAGAATCGGTTCCAGTGCTTTTAGGTATCCAGGGTGCCACTGCTTCAAACCCGAAAGCCAAGGCCCCTCAACCTATAAGCCTCAAACCGTTATCGACCTTAAGCATGCGACACAGGAGCTTCTTGGCTGTTACGGTCTAAATGTGTTCAAAATGCAGACTTGGGACCCTGTCGTTGGGTTTGGGTTCGGGCGATGTGTGCCCTCAAAACACACTATCATGACCGCTTTAAACCGTAATTAAACCCCGAGGCCTAAGCTTACTACACCGGACTTTTAGCTTTTACGGAACACATATGTTCTGCGAGTATGTGCAACCACAGACACCCTAACCCACTTGCCCGCCTGGCAGCCGAGGGGGACCGGTGTTGGGAGCGCCCCGTTTGGAGACTCATCGGCATGTTCAGGATACTCCCACTCGGTTATGTTGAATGTCGCTCCGGTTGCTCTTCTTCGGAGGTAATAGTCCTCGTCGATAAACCCATTAAAGTAATAACCCTTAAATGTGTCAATCGTGGCTCCAGACGAGTCCTTCAGCTGCACGATATCGTACAAGTAATCAACATCGTCGTGGAGTACCCGGAGGATGTCCGCCGGAAAACCGAAGAATTTTTGGAAGGCTGCGACATCCGATAGCGAACTCTCGTTGCCATGGTCGTGTGTAATATAGAAGGTGGCCCCGGCCGCCAGGCTATGGGCAGGCAGGGAGATGTTCAAGGGAATCTGCCACTCCTCACCGGAAATGAAGATGGAGAAAGTGCTCAGGTCCATGATGCTCGTCAGCGCGGTCAGCTGCACGAATGCGAAATTCCCCAAAACCTCGTCAGTACGGAGGTAGCCGACGGCCGAAATCACAAGATCAGCAGCGCCGATTGTAAATGGACACACAATGGACTCGGTAACCGGCGGAACCTGCAAGGGTTTGGGGCTTGGAGCTGTGGGGCTTTGGGCTTCGGGTTTAGAGGCCGCGGCTTCAGGAATGGCTTCCAATGCTTTTAGGTATCTAGGGCGCCACTGCCTTTTTGCATCAGGACTTGTGCAATCGCCTGAATACATGGCGCCACTGCGGGTTTGTCAAACCCGAAAGCCAATGCCCTTAACCCTACATAAGCCTTAAGCCGTTATAAACCTTAAGCCCGAAGAATGCGATACAGGAGCTTCTTGGCCATAACGGTTAAATGTGTTCAAAATGCATGCATGGGACCCTCACGGGATGTGCTTGGGAATCGTCTTTGGGTTCGGGTGATGTATGCCCCCTAATTACACCAACATGACCTTGAGAGAGAGAGAGAGAGAGAGAGAGAGAGAGAGAGAGAGAGAGAGACAGAGACAGAGACAGAGGCAGAGCCGAAGCAGAGACAGAAACAAAAAAACAGTCAGAGCGAGAGAGAGAGAGAGAGAGAGAGAGAGAGAGAGAGAGCGAAAAGAACACACGCACTCAAACACACTCAGACAAAGGAGACACAGCAAACGAGAACAGCTGAGAGGAGCGCAGCCTTCGCCATACACAGTCGTGAGATCTATCCCCAACCCCAAACAGCCGTGCATCCGTTGTGTTGGTCGCGCTTTCGGCCTCGGTGGGTCCGTTTTTCAGTTGTTCGATGCAGGTAAGCTCTCAAACTGTCTGACCGTCAGAGCGACACCGACATTTAGAGCAAGAGAAGGAGGTTGTGAGTGAATGAGCAAGCGAGCGAGGGAGTCAGTGGGTGAATGAGTGAGGCAGTGAGAGTGCGAGAGTGAGAGTGACAGAGAAAGAGAGAGAGAGAGAGAGAGAGAGAGAGGTGGAAAGAGGTATACCCTCACGGCCGAAACCCGTGATAAGTTGGGCCTCCGTCGCGTTGGTCCCATTGGTTTCGGCCTCGAGGGTTCGTTTTCAGGTGTTCGTCTCGCTCCTGACCCCAGTTCTTCATCCGTCGGGGTCCTCTCACCTGTCCAACCTTCGTAAACCTTTGTCCACCAACCCTCTATCGCCGGTACGGTCACAGTAACTAGTATGCGAAGGTTTATCAAGTACTCATGGTAATGGAGCCACGAGTATATCGAGCTGCCTGTTGTTCATAGCCTGGTTCTCGCATTTGGGACACTCGCACACCAGAAGCGGGTCATGGCGTTGCACCGAGCTTGCAAGCAGGATTGCTCGAGATCGTGTAATTATATTTTTCGGGAATTAAGGGTTGTGTTTTGCTTCTTCGTATTACAAGCATTATGATTGATAGTGGTATTCATATTATATACTATGATAACTACTATTACTATGTTGGTTGTTGGTGTTTTTTGTCTGGGGTCTTTAGAGCAAGGTTCAGCCTGCTTTGCGAGTTTTTCCGGCGACAGGGATGCAAAACACACTTAGCAGCCGTGCCTCCGTCGTGTTGGTCGCATTGCTTTCGGCCTCGATGGTTCGTTTCCAATTGTTCGGCGCAAGTAAGAGCTCTAGCAACATTTTGACCGTCAGGGCGACACCGAAAGATATTCAGAGCGAGAGGAGGAGCATGTGAGTGAACAAATTCTTAAACAAACATCTCTTAATGTGAAATAACATCACATACTGTTCCGGTATAATACAATACAAAAGAACATAATATAATGTACGCTTTCTGTATAATATGATACAATACCATAGAACATCACATAGCGCAACATAATAGAACAGAAATACTATGCGTGAAGGGGTTTGGTATCGTTGATGTCGTATATAGTCGCTCACCTCACCGAGCATATTCACTGGTTGTGGTCGCCCTTGCTGATGTACAGTGGTTCCACACCGCTTTGATCACTCCCTGCATGCAAACTCGGACCGGCTGTTTTCTCGCCAAAGAAGCGCGACGAGTTGTCTGTGCAAAGGGGAATGGCTCGAATCCTATAGGTCGTTCACAGGCCACTAGCTATTGTTAGCACGCCGTAGATGTTATGCCGTTATGCCTTTAGCATAATCTTGAGCCAAAGTTGCGTTGCATGCGGAGCAACTGAGATTGGCACTGTCGCATGGCCCGACAAGCGGTTCCATGCGCAGGCAAGATGAGACAAGGCCCGCAAGACGGTACCTTGCTCTATGTACATGGTAGACCATGACGTTGTGCTCATAGCTCACATTTCGACACCTACGAATTGGACTAGGCATCGAGGTCCGTTCGCAGTTCACATGGGCACTAATACTGCTAGTGCTACTATGTTGGTTTTGGCTTGGCGTGTCTTGGGTCTTTAGGGTAAGGTTCAGCCTGCCGCGCGTGGCTTCTTTCCGGCGACATGGATGCAACGAACCCTTAGCAGCCGTGCCTACGTCGTATTGGTCGCATTGTTTTCTGTATCGAGGGTTCGTTATCAGTTGTTCGGTGCAAGTAATGGCTTCAGCAACATTATGGCGACACCGCAAAATATTCGGAGCGAGAGCAGGAATGTGTCAGTGAACAAGTTCTTAAACAAACAGTTTATCATATAACAATAGACAACGTATTACAACACAATCCAATACAAAATAATATTTAATACAATACCCTATAATGACATAACATAACAGAACATGGGAACATAACATAGTATAATATAAGGTCAGATATAAGATACGGTAAAGATACGGTACCATAAGATAAGATAGGACAAGATACTGTGTTAGGTTACAATAGAATATCACATACTATAAGATAAAATTCAAAGCAATGCAAAACAACATAATATGGTATAAGGCAAGACAAGATATGATAAGATATCATAAAATAAGATGAAATAATCTACTACATACTATTTAATACCCATATTTACCTCCCTCCGTGTTGGGACCGGGCCGCCAAGCCCATTCTCAAAAAGCAGACAACGTGCATACTGCTACACCACCCCAATCCTACCAGGCCACTAGCCAGGACCCGAAAACCCCTTCCACTAGAGAGAGAGAGAGAGAGAGAGCGAGCAAACGAAAAGGCAGGACAAAGATCAAGAGTGCGAGGGAGAGGGAGAGCTAGAGCGCAAACTGCACGTTAGCCCCAGTCTGTCCCACTCCTATGCAAGAGTTTATCAAGGCTGGGATCCTCATCGTAACGTGGACACGAATATGTCGAAATTCCTAGATTTCGCACTTCGGACCGAAGCCCGTCATGGCCTTGCACGGACCTTAGGTCTGTAATTCAATCTTATGCTTGGGAGCATCAGGGTACGTGACAAAGATCGCTACAGCTGAGATGAGCTGATTGCATTAGCTTGAAATGGCGTCGGCGCGTACGGCGGACGACAACGGTGACGAGCCGGGGCAAAGCGCAACGAAACAAAACGAATGGACACCTAATGCAGAATCAGCACGTGTGGCGGAAACTTATATCCCAATAGAACGAAAGCAGCAACACCCAGTATGACTATGGAGGCTTTCGTGTCTTGATGGGTTTTAGCATGTACGGAGTATGTTTAGGGTTTTGGGGTCTAAGGCTTTAGGTTTTGGCCTG